TTTGCATTTTGTAAATTGATAAACATAAACAATTATAATATATATTTTTGAAAGCATTCTTGCTTTACGGCATTTTTTCACACCTGGCTAAAACTTTTGCACAGTACTGTATAAATGTTATAAATAATCAGGACATAAGCAGTCAATGTTTTTAAAGAGAAGAAATTCCTTTAAAATCAATACACTGAAACATTTACATTTAGTTTTACAAATAAATATACAAAATGAATTTTTAAAAATATAGTAAACCATTTTATTAAAATATTTGTATATCATGACCCATTTAAAAAAAAAACTTGAAGCAGTTTACAATAAAACACACCTTATTGCTACATAAAACAGTACTGGGGCTAACAACTCTGCCTTCTTAAATATAAAGAGAGCAAAATAAGAGAAAATTCCATGAGAATTACAAGCACTTAAGTTTCCCTTTTCATTATTCTTTCAATCTCCTCTTAGCCCATTCAGTGTTCAAAGTACCTGATCCTTATCAAGAACTGAATTTGGGAATTTCAAACAAGGGATAGCAATTTTCTCTCAATGTAGAGCACTGGGGACAGATAAGAGCAAAGGGATTTTACAAGCCTGAACAAGGTAGGCGCAGGTGAACCGGTTCTGAGTTTTCCCCCTTGAGAAGCCAAATAAAAGTAAGTAGGTCATGAAAGCAGCAGCAGCAGCAGCATTGTGCTCTTGGGAGTCTAGGTTTCATGAACAGCCCTAATTTTAGCTTTCCCTGACAACAGAACAACTGAGTTAAAACTGGGTGGTGCTGTTTGATGAGCCACTAAACTGCCTAGGCCGGAGAAAGGCACCTTTTGGTAGCCAAGAGCCACGCTTGTTACATGGAGGAGGTGTGAAATATGATACTGGCATTTCGCTCTCTTTCCTTTTTAATGTGATGTGCCTGCTTGGGGGGTTATGCTCCAGTTTTCATTCATGCGACGTTTCCAAGCCATCAGTTTTCAGTTCATTGTTACCCAATAAAAGCAAAACGGAGATTTCGGGCTGCACGTAGCCTTTGGAGGATCGGCTACCCACACTGACTTAGCAAGAAGAGAGGGATAAGGAAAATTAAACCTGTGCCAAAATTCCCTCTTTTATACAAAATGCATGTCTTGTCCTCTTTCGGGGCCACTAAGTTTATGATAACACAGAGGCTCATGCTTGCAGATTCACCTGCCGTTGCAGATAGTCGCCCCATTCAGGAGACCCTGCAGGAAGCCCAGCGCTGCCGGTAATTACCCCTGCCGCCCCGTATCCTCAGAAGAGGCACCAAAGAGAAAACAGCGCATGCTCCAGAACGCCGGGCTCGCAACCGGTTCTGCGGCAAATGGCGAGAAAACCAGATCTTCTGAAGTAACGCGCCTGCGCACAATGTCTTACATTCGCCGCGCCACCGTCGAGTGCACATGCGCAGTAAAGAGTTCTAGTTCCTGAATGCGTCTTCCAACCCCGCCCTCTGACCGCCCGTAGGGACGATCTAACAGGCGTTATGGTGACGTTAGTTGGCGGTAGTTTGAAAAGGAGAACGCGCTTCTCTTAGTTGTGATAATGTCGATGTTGGCTGCTTTTGGCAAACTCCCGACGCTTAATTCCGCGACCATTTTGGTACGTATCGTAAAATTTATAAAATAATAGTTCATGCAGGTGACGTCTGCGCTGACGACGTCTCTTCCTCGGCTAGCACTTCTGAGGTCCTTACTTGAAAACGGGTAGAAAAAGTGAATCCGTCGCCCAGCCAACGGTCGCGAGGCTGGTCTCTTTTTAGCCCGCCCACCAGCTGCTTCTAACTGGATGACTTATGCTCGACGCGGGAGTTGCGCTGAAAATCTTCTTTCCAAGGCGCGACATGATTTCGCTTCGTTATGGAGTAACGATCTCGATCCGAAGGAGAATTCTGCAACGGCAGATGAAACTCTGCGAGCATGAACTTCTGTATTTATTACTTTTAGCATGCCTGGTCCGGGCAGTTGACAGCAGCTCCTTAGCCCATCTCCAGAAAAGCTCCCAAGGCTTGGAACATCTGGAACTTCCAGATGTATAGGCTAGATTAGGAAGTTGAAAAAGCATATTGGATGCAAATCACTTCCTTAGTGTTGCCCAGGAAACTAAAGGGAGTGTTGAACATGACACGTTTTTGACCTGTTATATTGAAGAGAAAGACTGTTATCTACTAAATTCCTCCCGGTTAATGGTAATTTTTTTCTACTGAATCTGATAAGATTCAACAAACAGATTGGATCTGATAATAGAAGAATGACGGCAGAGAAAGTATAGCAGACTAGAACTGATCACTGTTTTTCTTGCAGCTATTTGGACTAACTGTTTTTTTTCCTCATTAATAGTTGGTGGGAACAAATGATATTTTCCAGCAGCAACTAGCAGAAACTATTCTTAAGGAAAAACAAGATTTGAAAATAAATATGTAAGTAGTGGAAAAAAGAGTCCACTTAAAAAATCATTGCCTGAACTTTAGTTCTTATATGCATTTTGTGGAATTTTATAGAATTCTATTCTATTCTAAAGTGATGACTGTTGTGGTTTATGGTAAAGTGTTGTGTTTAAAAATGAGGAAATCTTTGCCTGTGGAGCTGGGTTTTTTGTTTTTTGTTTTGGTCAATTTCTGGGAATGATTTGGACTGTACACTAATACATTCTGTTTTCTGTCAAAAAAAAAAAAGAAGCAAGGGGTAATCCTAGCTATCTAGATAATTAATAGTTTGCTGGTTGATGACTGAAATAAAGAGACTTGACTATTTAATGGAGCTGTTATAGTGTTCAGCAAGTGTAGAAATAATATTTCCTGCCGCTATCTGATACATTCCAGGTTTATGTCACCTTTTGGCTTATTATAATGGGATTGTAGTCCAGCACCCTCGGAACATGCCTAGTAGAAGAAGCTATCTTCAGATATAGTCATTTAAAACTAGTACTTAGGTATAACCATACTATGTCACATTTGCTACTAATTTTTCTTTCTGAAGTGCTGTGCTGTACAGAGTAGTCCCTGGGTTAAGAATGCCTGGTTTACGGATGACCCATAGTTAGGAGTGGAGCTTATTTAGCAAAATTCAAGTTAAATAGACAATGATTTGAGTGAATCATTGAGTGAATACACAATGGTTCAAGTTAATTACACAATACTATGTTTACAGTATTATACAATAATATTGTTCTGGCTTACATACAAATTCAACTTAAGAACAGACCTTGGAAACAGAACTCATTCTTAAACTGGGGACTACCTGTAGTTTCGTTTAATACTTCAGTATTAATATTTTCTTTTCCTATAAAGCTTCTTTAGAACAAACTTGTTGGTTTCGGACTGTTGACAAAAAATGCAGTGTTTTTTTTTTTAGCCATTTGGCAGCTTCTCTTCCTCTACCTGTGGAGAGAGACCACATTCGACCAAGGATTGATTTGATTGTCTTTATGATTAACATTCAAAGCAAATACAGGTATGAACAGAAATAATAAGTTTGACAGAAGGGAGGTGTTTGTTTAATTGTTAATTTGGGCAAAGTGCAGCAAACACAAGGGGGGAACATAAGTTTATATATTTGCACTGAATAGGTTTACAAGTTATAAGTTTTCATTTTCAAATATCTTGCTCAAGTATGTTAGAATGAAATCCCATTTAATGTATTGTTAGTATCTTACTAAAATAATAGCTTTTATTTCTTCTAAATCTGAATGATATCTAAAAAAATTGGCTCCTCCAGGAATTCAGTAACATGAAAGGGCTATATAGAAACTGAAAGAGCAATTATTTTCTAATCAAAATGTAGAAAAGAACCTTTGAAACATAAGCATTTGAAACATAAGCATTTGAAACAGGGCCTCTTTCTCTTTTTCTTATGATTTATTATAAGCTTTTATCACTATATCATGAATACAGGGGTTTCTTTTGCATTTGTAAAAAAAAAACCCTACATTTTATTTCCTTTTATCTGCTTTTCTGCCAGTTTTGAGGATATAGAAGCTTCCCTGATACATGTAGATGCAAACTTTTTCCTTGGAAAAGTGTGCCTTCTGGTTACTGGTGGTATGTATGAAATACATTTGCTGTTTAAAACACAATCTGTCAAGTCTTTGATGTATTAAAGTCAGTTTTACTTAGCAACTGGTACTTTATCTCAAATGTAGCAGAGTTGCTACTTAAATTCTAACTGCTAACTAGTGCTCCATCTCTTGCATACTTGTGTTCTTCTGCTTAATAATCTGTAACCATTTGTTTCTATTGGAAGAAAGTAATTTATTATTCCAGGATCAGCTATGTTTAATGTACTTTTTATTCAGGGCTTAAATATATATGCTTACTGTTTTTACAAGTAATTTATTATTGATGATATTAAATAAAAGTAAACAAAATAATATCATACCCGGAAAAAAATAAGACTGAAAATGTCTTCCTTTCTTGTCTTTTTAAAAAAATAGTAGGTAGAATGAATCAAATCAGTGTGGATATGGATGCTATCTGGAAGCTAGCAGATCGTTACTGTAGCCCTGTCTTGTTCTGTGAGCTTGAAGTAAGACCTCTCATTTTTTAAAATTATATATAATTGTATCATTTTGGGCAACAAATTCATTTTGCAGTCTAATACCAATATATGCCAGTATGTAAATAATCAGCCTTATCTTTTACATAGGTTAACATTCTTCTTGTTTCTGTTTCCAATTATTGGATCACTGTCCCTGTTTGTTATCCATCTCAGTGTTCATTTAACAATCTGGCAAAGGTTATTTTATGGTATTTTCACCATTGTCAGTCTATGAGTAACTGCATGCTTGTGGTCAGTAGGGTTCAGTTTTTTCCACCTTGCCCAGTGGGTTGCTTGGAGAAGTTGGCATAACTTCTAAAACGAAGCACAGCTGATTGGCCCTTGATCTGCCAGTTCCTACCCTTGAGCTATAAAAATAACCAAGAGTGAGGAAAGCTTATGGACAATTATTGATTTCACTAACAGTTATAATTCTTGTGCTTATTCATAAAGCTAAGGTATTGTGGTTGTCAAGAATTGCTTCTGCCCTGCTCAGTATCTAGGTGAAATCTCCCTTTGGCTTTTCCTGGTAGAAGAGGGTGATCTGGAATAATCACAATTAATGTAACAGTCAAATTTCCAAAATTTTGAGCTTGGAAGAAAGAGAGATTATAGTGCAACTGCTTGGATGATTAAGGCCTGTTGCTCACCAAGGGTGGCATCACTTCTGTCACAGCAAACAAACCTACTTTTGACTATAATTGACTAACAGCAAAGCATATTTGCAGTCCTCATTTTCAGTTGGGATGTTAGGGTTCTTCCTTCCTTGCCCATGCAAACTGAATTCTGGTTTGGAACTCTCTACTTGCTGCAGAGGAATGGTTGAAATTTGGCTTGCTTGCATAAAGCATTGTACAGATCTGCTCTGTGTGCAACTGGCAGTGCACTTCCTCTGGCAGATCATGAAACTAGCTGCAGTAATTCAGTATAAGTGGCCTTTTGGACTTACCCAGTTCTGCAGAGCAAGAATATATTTGACTGTTCCTGCTGTCTTTACATCAGATAACAGTTATGTGTACCTATTAAAAAGGTTGTTTGATCTTTTGTTTTCCTTTTTTCAGTGCGAAAAGGTCAGAACTGTCACAGCTCAGAGACTTCTCCGGATGTTACAAGTATGCGCTGGTCATGTACCGGGGATCTCTTCCCTCTCTTTCAGTTCTTTAATGAAAAGCTCCATTGATGACTCAAACTATATGGCATAAAACATTTTTCAGTTTTATTATCTGTGATTTCTGAGGGAACTGAATTTTTCTTTTTTAACATAAGCATCACTCTGTCAGAAATAAGTCTTATGTACTATTTTTCATAAGGGACAGGAGCTGGAGAAATAGACTTTAGGTGTCTTAAAGAAACCAAATTAGCCTGCACTTCTCAGGCAATTTGGAGTTGGGATTGTCTTAGTCGGACATCTTATGTTCCCATATATGTTTGGCCTAATTAGGGAACTGTGATATCCCATTCTCAGAGCCTAGTTCTCAGGTATAGAGCAGGCAGCCAAAATGGTTGATATGTAAGCCCAGGTACAATACATGCAAATTGTTGTTTCCAGAATGAATTGCTAGAGCAAGTTTCTTAATTCCAGTTATGTACAGATAAATATCTCCAGTGTCTTCAGGATCTTCATTGAGAAAAGTGTCTTTCTCACAGATCTGTATATCAAGCAAAATGAAAGCCTTGCAGTCTTTAACAATAAGCATTATTCTATAAAGCAGAACCTCACCGATACGTTGGGCAAAAAAAAGAGTAGATATTTGATTAATTTTAGAGCAACTGGCCTTTTGGATAATTAGAGATACATATCCAATCAAACTGAACTATATTATTTCCATTCATAATAGCAAAACAGTATCAGAAAATCAAGATTTAGCATCAAGATAGTGCAGCTTCTTTAAGACTGTTTTGTATGGAAAACAAGCATTTTTTTCAGAAGAGTTTAGCTTTTCTATTCTTGAGATTAATGATTGGATCTGTAATTGTAGATAGCTTTAGAAGTATTTGGCGTTAGTTGTGTTAAAAGTCTTCTTTGTTATTAAAAAAAGATGTTCTACTTGCAACATAGTCTGTGTATTAAAGGATCGACCTTCTAATCTGTAATCCTACACAACTGAATGTGGAAGCATTGTAGTAATACCTTGTGACAAAATAAACAGATTTTATTTATGTTTACATTTGACCCTACCTTATTTTCAGTCAGGTATATGTGGGGCTGCTTGCTGAGCAGGAATTTGCAAAAACTTATTAGAATACTGCCAGCCCCATTACTTTTAATAAGAGTATGGAAGCAACTACTACCCTGTCATAAAATGTTAAATCTGGAAAATGAAGAGTAGATGTCATAGCATTAAGCTGCTGTATACACAAACATCTGACCTGCAAGCATCTCAACATGATTTGCTCCTTCCAAACCCATTTCTGTGAAACTAATGAAATACTGAATTCAAAGTGTCAACAGTATGTTAAATGTTCCTATAATTAACTCTCATATGGGTAGCTGGAAATGGATGGGAGAGAAGAAGAATGAACCCATCAGATTGGCCAGAATCAATACTGGCTATTTGGCTAAATTCTATTTCTAGTTTATAGTTATAATCCAGACATAGCTGTATAACTGCTTAATTAGTACCACCACCTTGCCCGGAGAAACCTTGTAGAAGAAACCAAATCAATAACAGAGAGAAAGAGAGGGAGGTGAATATCTTCTGCCAAAATTATTGCAGCACGGTAGTTTTTGAATATGTGCTTCGGCATGCACATATGCAGGTAGAGAAAAATAGAAATGATAGCACTAAATAAGCATGAACTATAAAAACTGGTACAATTATTACAGAAAGTAGATCTAATCTTTCTGGATTGGTGGGCGCAAGTTTGAAAGTATGTTATGAATCCACTTTAGCTTTGCTCTTTGCCTACACCTATGGTCAAATTCCAAAGGAGTTGCATCTAGTGAACATTGTTCCTATATATATAAAAAGGGTAGAAATGTCAACACTGAAAATTGCAGACTATCAGGCAGCTCAACACAGTTAGCAAGCTCAATGTGAGACACCTGGCATAGAAATTCCACGACTGGCTGGAGCAGGAAAATCTACCTGCAGATGAACAGGATGGCTCCAGGGAAGGCCAATCCATGACAGTGTCTAATATTCCAGCAACTCATTGAAAAAGACTCCTCCTCCAAGGTGGCATCTCTTTATGCTGCCTTCATAGATTTTAAAGCAGCATTTGATTCCATCTCATAAGTCAAATTGTGAGAGAAGCTGGAAGCCCCCTTGATTGACTGGCACCTGTTATACCTAATATAGATGCTACATGAAGGCACATCTCTCAAAGTAAATTGCAACTCCCAGAGCTATTTTACTAGTGCTACTGAAAGCTGGAAAGCTGTCAAGCCAGGCTACATACTGGCTCTAAGTCTTTTCAACTTCTTAACTGTAAGCTAGGCCTGCTCAACAACCCAGTCTTTTATTGACTATATGTGCAGTGATATTGTCAAGGACTTCTACTGGCCTTAAAAGCCCACTGAAAGCCCTAGCACAGTATTGCAAAAAAAGACCTACTGGAACTAGAAAACTAAAATGGTATTTGCCAAAAGGCCCAAGACCTATTTATGGAGTGTAGATGGCCAGGTTTTCTGCTTCAAATACTTGGAAGTAGCCCTTCACTTTGCCAGCAATAGGAAACTCATGAGGACTATGTTGCTCAAAGTAAATAGAAGAATTCATCTGCCATGCTCAAATGATTTAGGACAAAAGGTGGCCATTACATGCCTGCAGCTCTTCAATTGGTTGAAACTGAGCCACTAGCACAGCTTCTTTAAGGTGCTTAGCTAGGCCTCTTTTACACTTTTGCCCCACTAGACCTTGTACAATCAAAATTCTTTAGAGCTTTCTCATTTCTACAAATTCTAATTCCTAAATGTATCTCCGTTGCCACCCTGCAACTGGAGAGAAACCTCATGAAAATGGAGGCTAGATTATGGTTGGCCATACTTAGCTGTCATCTTAGATTATTCCTCTTCCCCCTGGTCTTGCCTTCCCTAACCACAAGTGATGATTTCCAATCCAACTGGAAACAGATAATTGTGACTAAATCTCACCCTTTGGCCTAATTGTATCTTTCCCCCCCATATGGGTTATGATCAGGCCAACGGTATCATCAAACAGTGCATAACAGGTATAGAGTGCCAGTCTAACTTAACCAGGATCCCAAACATCTTCATCAGCAAAGATCTCAGGTATCCTGCCTCCCCCATGGCATATCTAACACAACTGGAAGTCCCAAGGCCCAGAAGGGCCTTTATTTTTTCGTGATGGCACACTCTCCTTCAGCCATGCACGAGGCACAATGCAGGTACGTTCCATTCTCAGAATGGTAATGCCCTTGCAATCCTGGGCATGGAGGAACAATACAGCATGTTCTCCAGTACTCATGTTAAAGAGATACTCACACCAACCTCATCCAAAGAGAGTATCCAGGGCACATGCAACAATTGTACATTTCTCTGCTACTTTTGGGCATCAACTGTGCCACAACATACAGCATTGCCAGGTTCTGTGCAACAGAGGACAAAATCTGCTGGATGATGACTTCTAGCTTAGTCTCAATGTGCACACTCCTAGTCTGCCACCACAGAACACTGCACAACCTAGCGGTTTATGCAGTCTCTTACTTCATCCTATTTCCATTTAATATTGTATATGTTATGTCTTTTACATAACTTTTTATGCCTCCCTATACCTTTTAATAGCTTTTACACTCCTATGTCTTCTTTTATTGACTGTATTCCTTCCCCATGCCTATTCTGGTCTATGACTGTAAGTAAGTAAAGATTTTTGCTTGTTTTGTTTTTTTCCAAATTGGCATGAGGTTCTGGAGGCCAAGAAGATGCCCACGGGCACTTCTTGAGTACCAAAGGCTCCACAGTATTGTATTAGGCTAAGACTATCCAGATTCACTGTAACCTATATATTTTGCTGAGCATAAAATGGGGATGAGTAAGGACATGCCATTTTGAATCCTAGAATAAAGATAGAATATAAAAGTAGTAATTTTAAAAGTAAATGCAGATTGCACTTAGTGTTTCACACAGGCACACGTACACACACACACACATGCAATTTTCACTATAACCACAAGATGGTGACAGGAGACTTATTAAATACGTATAATTAAATTTAAAGATTCCAGGCTAAATTTCTTATATATATATGCCAATATCACTGCATGAATGGAGTGTCTAATCCAGAGGTTAGACATACATTCTTTAAACACATATAAAATATCTTAATAGATTGTTTCATAGCCATTCTATCTGTACCATTTCTATAAAAATAACCTTCTCTTTGCTTTTCTGTCCTTATCTCTCTTGAAAGAATAAAGCTATGCTAGTTAACTAAGATTTATCAGCTGTCATACTACTAGGTTGAGTTCTAACTTAAGTCTGTTCAAATGCTTATATAATAGGTCCATCCATGTAATAATAACAAGAAGCTGAACTGAATTTAAGCAGATCCATTTTCTAATGGAATATCCCTGCAGGCAGCCTATACAACTGGTCTTTCTTTGGCTACTTTGTCAAAGCAAGGTGATTGGTGAGGCCCTATGATACTCTGTGCAGCTTGGTTAGGAAGCTGCACTTGGTTGTAGAAGACTAATCATTAGCAAACACGAAGCATAACAGCAGACAGCATTTTTCCCACAGAGATATAAAGCTGGCTGGGAAAGACCATTTTAGGAGAACAGGTAGAAATTGTATTACTAAATCTGTTAAACACTGGACATGAGCTTTAGAGAACAACATGTAGTGAATAATGCTGCACATTAGTCAGAGGCAATTATGCATAAGAAACACACATTGCCCACTCTGTCAGAGGTGTCTTTTCTCATCTCTTAATTACTTTAATTTTTATGCTGCTCAACATAGTAGTGCTGAGTAGTTAGTAACCGCCTTTCCAAGAGTACAGGGAAGGTTAATTAGTCAATGTCCATGCTGTGTTTTGAAGGGGAGGGGGGAAGCTTGATGGCTGGCAATGTTTTGTGTGTTGAATGGGCTAGAGGATGAAAGCCAATTCCAAATGTTTTGTTCTTTTAGTTTTTACATGCTCAATTTCAGATAGAAGCAGGAACAAAACAACTAGCAACCAGACAAGGACACCTTTCCAAGTCGTGTGGAAATCTTATAACAAACTAACTCATATTAGTTTTCCCCTTGTGCACATGGGGTGCCCCATACACAAAGCATCTGTATTTACTGAGGAGGGGCTGAAATGGAATTTTAGAGTGACTAGATACATCCCAATGATAAGTATAGCATTGGTACACAAAGAATACTATTTGTTTGCTTACTTTTCCTAAATAAGCATATCCATACAGAAAAAACAATGGTAGCCACAATCAGGTTCAAGGCAGAACTGGGTTCAAGATAATGAAGCAGGGCAACCAAACGTTCTTTCTATTAGTTAATGTGTGTGTGCGCCTTCAAGTCAGTTTTTGACTCCTGGTGACTGCCTACAAGTCCCTGCAGTTTTCTTGGCAAGGTTTTTCAGAAGTGGTTTGCCATTGACTTCTTCCTAGGGCTGAGAGAGTGTGACTGGCCCAAGGTCACCCAGCAGGCTTTGTGGCTAAGGCAGGATTAAAACTCACAGTCTCCCAGTTCCTAGCCTGATGCTTTAACCACTACACCAAAGTGAGAGGGTTTGTATCTATAATTATCCAAAAGGCCAGTTGCTCTAAAATTAATCAAATATCTGCTCTTTTTTTGCCCAACATATCAGTGGTTGTTCATGCTGGCTCTAGCTGATAGGTATAGCTGATGGAGTTTAAAGTCTGAAACATCTGCATGCCAACAGCTTATCTACCCCTGGTTTAACAGTAGTTTGATGTGCAGAAAACAAGCAGGTGGACATTTTCCTCAGCATTTCACTTCTACATTAAGTTTGTTATTTTTCCTATTACTTATGCTCTCCACTGAGCTAGTAATCTGTGAATGGCATCCAAAGCAAGAAGTGTATCTGAGTCTTCATATTTCAGGCAGCATATGTGTTTTCAAAAGTGGGGGTTATTGTCTCATGATGCTAAGCTGATCCCTGCAACAGCTACTTGTGAGTAATTCAGTCCACAGCCTCCTACAGATTG